CGTCAGATCCCGGGGACGCCGGGGGCCCGGGCTGAGCGCCGCAGCCCGCGAGGAGGAGCACCGGTAAATAGCCACAACTTTCTATCTCCTTGCGATCCTGAAAGTAAATGCAAAATTGCGCGTCCGCTGCATGTGGAAGTGAGCGGGGCGGCAGCCGGCTTGCCCCTGAGTTTTTAACACAGCTCGATATGATGTTTAGTGCAATTCCATCATTTACTGGTATCTCAGAGCTGCAGCTGGACATAAGCATGTAACAGTGATTGCAGTTCAGTAAATGCTTATGATGACCAATTTTTTCCTTTTTTATTTTTATAGATTTAGGGGGTACAGGTGCTGTTTTGTTAGATGGATCTATCGCCTAGTAGTGCAGCCCGGGCTGTTGGTGTAGCCAGCACCCCTATAGTGCACATCGTACCTGTTAAGTAATCTGTTGTCCCTCACCCCCTCCCTCCCTCCCGGAATGATCGCCAGTATTAATGATGAGAGCGATGACAGAAATTCTCTCCAGATGTGATCTGAGTTTGGAGGCAAAGGGATTTTTGAAAATGAATCATAAGAGAGACATTTTGCAACACAGGAGTGTGGTACATGTAAACTGCTGTTTTTCAATACTGTGCTCACGCGAACCTAATAAACTATCAGTCAGACCTCATGGAATTCCACATAATGCAGAAGGAGGGAAAAATAGGTATTGAGGAAAAGCAGCACTGTTTTCCTCAAGTTTAACATGTATGTGCAGCCTACACTTCCAAACTTAAGACAGTAGCTTTTAACATGTGACTTTGCTCAGGGTCACAGACCACTCTGGCTATAACCTCACTTACAGCTGTGGAGGCTGAATCCCAGTGGGTCTGAGAGGTGTCAGGACAAATGTTGGGGATGCACCTGTCTGTCTCTCTTAAGGGAATACGGGTCTGTGCAGTCTTATATCGGAGCTGCCTTGAGGAGAATGTCGTGCAGTAGCCTTAGGAATGTGAACTTCGGGAGACTGGCTGGGATTTTGTAGGTTATGAGTTGGGGACATTTTCGATAGTGAACTTGAGCCCAGGAGAGCAGCCATAAAAAGCGAAACTGTCCTGGGCACATGGAGGTGAGTGTCTCTCTGGTAAGATGCGTGTGAAAGGCTGGGAGCTGAAAGCTAGGAGAGCAGAAGAGGCTGGGGAAGATTCTAATCCACGCATCCAGGGGCACTCTTCCAGGTCTCAGGAACGCAGGTCAGAAGGTGCAAGCCAGCGGCTGGGCACGTGGCTCACCCCTGGAGTACCAGCATTTTGGGAGGCTGAGACAGAAGGATCGCTTGTGGCCGGGAGTTTGAGACCAGACTGGGCAACACAGGGAGGCCTTGTCTCTTAAAAAAAAATGGATTGAGCAAGCCAAGCTCAGTCCTCTGATGCACTGCACTCATTCATCCCCTTTCTTAGGCTGTGTTGTTTCTAGCCAAGCTGCTGTCTTTCTTTGGTAGGCTGCTAACCTCTCTGGATTGTGAATGTAAAACATGTTTTACAGTAAATTTGCTGCCCAGACAAGAGGTGTATTTCTCCAGCAATGAATTCCTCGTTTCACCTGCATTTCTTGGATCTCAACCTGAATGCCACAGAGGGCAACCTTTCAGGACCCAGTGTCAGAAACAAGTCTTCGCCCTGTGAAAACATGGGCATCGCTGTGGAGGTGTTTCTCACTCTGGGTGCCATCAGCCTCGTGGAGAACATCTTGGTTATAGGGGCCATAGTGAAGAACAAAAACCTGCACTGCCCCATGTACTTCTTCGTGTGCAGCCTGGCAGTGGCCGACATGCTGGTGAGCATGTCCAACGCCTGGGAGACCATCACCATCTACCTGCTCAACAACAAGCACCTAGTGATAGCAGACGCCTTTGTGCGCCACATTGACAACGTGTTTGACTCCATGATCTGCATTTCCGTGGTGGCGTCCATGTGCAGCTTGCTGGCCATTGCGGTGGATAGGTACGTCACCATCTTCTATGCCCTGCGCTACCACCACATCATGACGGCGAGGCGCTCGGGGGCCATCATCGCCGGCATCTGGGCTTTCTGCACCGGCTGCGGCATCGTCTTCATCCTGTACTCCGAGTCCACCTACGTCATCCTGTGCCTCATCTCCATGTTCTTCACGATGCTGTTCCTCCTGGTGTCTCTGTACATACACATGTTCCTCCTGGCGCGGACTCACGTCAAGCGGATGGCGGCTGTGCCCGGGGCCAGCTCTGCGCGGCAGAGGACCAGCATGCAGGGCGCGGTCACCCTCACCATGCTGCTGGGCGTGTTCATCGTGTGCTGGGCCCCGTTCTTCCTGCATCTCATTTTAATGCTTTCTTGCCCTCAGAACCTCTACTGCTCTTGCTTCATGTCTCACTTCAATATGTACCTCATCCTCATCATGTGCAACTCCGTGGTGGACCCTCTCATATATGCCTTCCGCAGCCGGGAGATGCGCAAGACGTTTAAGGAGATTATTTGCTGCCCGGGCTTCCGAATCGCCTGCAGCTGTCCCGGAAGGGATTAAGTACAAAGTGCTCCTCTCTGTGGCTCTGTTCTCCTTTGTTTGCTCGCCTGTGACAAAGCGACAGCCAAGGGTAGGCGGGAGTGCCAGCATCCCCTTTCTCTCGTTACCAGCTCACTCGTTACCAGCTGAGACATAGGCCTAAGAGGCTCTGTCTGTTCAGTTCCTGGTGATTGTGTCCAACATGCAAGGGTTGTTTATCCACTCTGGGAACAGTCATGACAATTTCTTACTGTCCTTTGTGTCCTCTGGTTTCCACTGCTCCCACACATTTCTGGGGGCCCCACCCACCCTCCACCTAGCAGGCATGTGCTCAGGGAACGCACAGCACTCTGAGTGCAAGCCAGGCATGATGAAAACGGATTGTGACGGGAAGAAAAGTTCTGATATCCACGTCAGGTGGAATTGCTGCTTCTCCCCAGAAGCAGATCCACAGTCTGCTGCCTGCACTCTGAGCTATGCATGCTTTTCAGGGAAGAGCAGAGCGGCCAGATTCTTTCCATCGGAAGCAGTCTGTTCATTTGTTCTGAAATGTCTTTTTTGCCTGCCTTGCCTGAACTTTTGATTCATGGCTTGTGTTCATGATTGTCCGAATAATTGTACTTCTGTCAATCATGGTGTTGCACTTACCCAGACATAAAACCTTATGCTACACACCTTGCCTCATGTGCTGTGGAAGACTCTGTGACTCTTTCTTACCATCTTATTTGGGCTCAATCTGGGGTTTCCAAATGGGTGTTTGGGGCATTCCAGGGGCTCAAGGGGTTCAAGGTGCCCAGTGCTGCGTGTAGCACACGTCCACAGCCAGGCTTGCTTTGAGTGGCTCACACCAGATCTGTGTTGGAGTCTGAACTCTGGCCTGTATACTTGGCAGCACGTCAATCTCATTTCAGTAGCCAACAAAGGTCAGGGCCCAACCTATTGCCCGGGGAGCCCCATCTTCTTCCAACCTAGACTGGAGCGGAGAAGCTCGAGTTCAGGTCCTAACTCTGCCATTCACTGCTGTGTGGCCTGAATCATCTCATTTCAGGTTCCACTTCTGTGCTGACTGTACATGATGGCCATGAGAACTGCAAAACTGTGAGAGCTTCTTGTAAATTTGTAAAGCACTATAGGGTTTGCTTTTTATTTTAAAGAAATGCTGGGATTAGAGGCATGAGCCGGAGGTTGCAGTGAGCTGAGATTGCACCATTGCACTCCAGCCTGGGCGACTGTTCCAGACTCAAAAAAAAAAAAAAAAAAAGAAAGAAAAGAAAAGAAAAAGAAATGACTAGATGAGGTAAATACTAAGGAAGGACACAGGGGCCAGTGGTCAGAGCAGTGGCCTGGACACCAGGAGGTCTGTGTGGTCTCTGAAGCGAAGGGCTGGAGTCCTTGCAGCTCTCACAGTCCACTCTCGTAATAACTTTTGGTATGATTCCTGTTTTCGGCTTTGTTTTGGACATTCACATCTAGACTGCACCCAATGAAAACAATGTAAATAAAGCAGAGGACCACTGGGTCACACAACAGCGAGCCACTGGTGCAGAAGAGGGACCCCTCCTGTTGGGGTCTGCCAGGACAGGGGCTTCCTGGATGTAGCCGTATCAATAACGAATGCACTGGACCCCTGCCCCTGCAGAGAAACGGTGCTGGCATGAACAGGAGTATGCATAAGACGTCCACATCATTTGGAAACTGGCAAATCAGCAGGCTGTTGGCAACTGAGTTCTGAAGAGGCAGCTGTGTTTTCAAATGTTTCCTCTTCCTTGTTGCTGAAAAGTCACGTGTGTATCCATGGATGGGCAGTAAGTGGTCCTGTGTAACCACCATGGGGAGCCACAGTGCATTGTTTCTGCGGGACGTATTTCAGGAGCCAGGCTTCTGTGAAGGCTGCACTCTCTTCTGCCCCGCCCAGCGTGGTGGCCCCATGTCCCACAGCAGCTTCAGGCATGGAGAAGGTGCACCAGGAATGCTTGTTATTGTTGAAAAACAAATGTGCATCGACTCTTCTGCCTGCTAGACCTGAGTACTAAGTGAGTTCCAATCCTACGGGCAGAAACTTCAACCCTGTGCTTGACACTGGCCCCAGCTGGGAACCCAATTCTCTTTAGGCTAATTTTCTGCTCTGGTGCTTCGTGAGTTGCTACAAGATCTGACCTTTCATATAAAGGTCTTTAGGGAGGTGCTCAAATGCCTTTTAATCTTTATAAGTAGTGCAGAAATAACCCAAGTATTTAGATGTGTCTTCATTTGGAAGGAATACACGTATGTCGTGACTTGGTAAATATCTGTGCGTAAATGAGCCACCTCCAGCACCCAACACAAAGTGTCTCCCCCAAAAACAATACATATAACTGTGGAATATTGTGTGATAAGGTATGTTAAATATCTGCTTCTGTAGGAAATTTGTTTGGTGTAAAAATATGTGTTCAGGGAAATGGTTAATAAAATGGAAGGAGCAGACCACCTGTTTGAACTGGTCAATCTGATGTGTAATATCCAGAATGGTTTTCGTCTTTCTGCCAATTTATTGGCAGCTACTGCAAAATGAGAAGGTACATTCGTTGGTGACTGGTGGTGAAGTCTCCTTGACAATATTTATTGCCTGTAGGATGGCCATGTCTCAGATCAAAATGATATAACACCTAAAAATAAAATAAAATTGCATACTTGCCCTTACATACTGTGCAAAAGTCTGTGTCTTAGTAAGCAAAAGCATTTTGGGGATATCACCCAGCAGTACTCAGGGTGGGGCTAGAAGCAGTGGCCATTACAGAATCTCTGCCACCAGTGAGTTTAGAGGACATTAGTTATTTCAAGACATGACAGATTTCCAGATCCTACACATCAATAAAATTAGATGATTCTGAGCATGTCTTGTGCTTTTCTGCTTCCAGATTTTGTTGAAGCTGCACAGTCTTCAGGCCATATCCTGTATACCCACATGAGCCTTAAAGTTCATCCCAGATGCCTTTCTTCTAGGAGGCCCTTTTGACTTCCATAATTATACCTCATAATGGCACACATTCTGCTGGGTACTCCAGAGAATAGATTGTTTTTATGTCCTTTGCCAGAACACAAGCATCTTTGTGAGAAGGGATTTGTGTCAGTTAGGGCAGTGCTGTCCAACAGAACTTTCCACGATGATGGAAATGTTTTGTCTCTACTTTGTCCACTATAGTAGCCACTAGCTACATGTGGCAACTGAGCTTTTAAAATGTGGCCAGTGTGACTGAGGACCTGAGTTTTAATTTAATTTAATTTTAGTTAATTTATATTTAAATAACTGTATGTGGCCAATGACTACCATATTGGACAGCACAGAGTTAGAAGCCAGTTTATTACACGGAACAGAAAACCTGCAGAAATCCAGTGACCTGGCCAAGATGAAAGTTTATTTCTCTTTTCAGAGAAGAAGTTGGGAGGTAAGGATTTCAAGACTAGAATGGAGCTCAAAGGCACAATAAAGAATCCAGACTTCTATCCTTTTTAAAAAAGAGATGGGGTCTTGCCTGTTGCCCAGGCTAGTCTCGAACTCACGTGATCTTCTTGCCTCAGCCTCCTGAGTAGCTGGGACTATAGGTGTGTACCACCATGTCTGGCTTCTATCATTGCTAAGGTCAATTCATGGCCCAAAAAGGCTGCTGGAGCTCCAGCCATACTAGCTGAATTACAAGATAGAACGGGAGGGCGGTCAGGAACCGAAACTTTTCATCACAGGTGTTCTTCTTCATCCTGGGAAATCATCTCCTCTTATTTCTTTGTTTAATGTTTTTTTCTTTTTCCATTTCTCTTTGTCTCTTTTCATGACTCCTATTAGTCAAGCGTGGGTCCATTGGCATCCGTCTTCCATGTCTCTGAATCTTTCTCGTACTACCTTCTTCCTCTTGTCTTTTTGTTATGCGTTCTGAAAGACTGCTTCAACTTTGTCTTCCCCCCACCTCTTCTACTGAATTTTAATTTGGTAACTATATTTTTAATTTCTGTGACTTTCTATCCTTTCCTTGCCTTCTTTTTATAGCAAGCTGTTTCCGAATTCATAGACCCATATCTTGTCTATTTTTTCTGAAGACTGTCATTAGGTTTTTTAAAACTTTGTCGTCTGACTGGAAACATTTATTTCCTCCAAAGCCAATTGTCCTGTTTGTCGTGCTCCGTCCCACGGGTAAGGCTCACTTCCCTTAGCTGCTGGGTGAACCTGGATTGGCCACGAAGGAGTGGGTTTGATTGATTTAGTACTTGCATGGGTCCCTGCAGCTCTGTTGGATGAAAACACCTGGTTGTGCAGCTCTCTGAGGGTGTGTGGAGCCCATCCGGTGGCAGAGGTTACGTGAAGGATGTCTAGCTGCACCCTGTCTGCTAATAGAATAGCCTGTTCTGGCCGGGTGTGGTGGCTCACGCCTGTAATCCCAGCACTTTGGGAGGCCGAGGCGGGCGGATCACGAGGTTGGGAGATCGAGACCATCCTGGCTAACACAG